TTTATTCCTTTGTATACTGGGGTAATGAAAATTACTTTTACTGATTATGTGCAAACAATTACCATCCAGTAGCTATTATTCAGGGTAGTAATGTGGACAATTTGTACTATTTTTGGAGGCAATTCTACTTTTATCAAGTTTCATTACCCCACTCCACCCCTCTGAGCTATGCTGGCTCAGCCAACAGCTGTGCCACTTCCATAAATTCATAACAGGCAAATTTGCATCTGTGGTAACGCTTTCAACATCATTAAGCCTAATACAGAACACCTTAGATCACACCTTTGGGAACTGTTCTAAAGTATTAATTCATTACTACTATGAAGTATTTAAGTACAATGGTACCTATCAGGATTTCCTTAATTTTGTCTCATCACAGGGGGACAGTAAGTTAATACACTTTGACTGTTACTTCAGTCTTAAGCCTTCCCTAGACTAATGATTGACAAATGTAACAAATTTTGTAAAATTAGTGCAAGTCTGGATTTATCTGTGGTATGAATTCCTACCACCTACTGACTCAGCTGAGATCTTGGAATTTTCTTACAGCTCAAGTTAGCCTTGTTTTACAGGCTCAAAGCACACACACTGTTGTAGGAGCAAAACATTTCTAACCAGCTGACTGGTCCCATTTTACTGCTATGGAGCAATTTGAACATTATTAGGGTTGCTTTCCATAATCCCATGGCATTGCTTTGATTCTGGTTGCTGATCCTTTTCATAGCAAGACACGTTACTGAAACATTCTTCCAAACTTATTTTAGTCATACTTTAGTTCAATATATTTATATGCAAAACACAATTTTCAGTGGAGGCAAGCCAATAAAAGAAACAGATTACTAGAATTTCAGTTGACTTTGTTAAAGGAAATTATTTTAAATTAATGTGGCTACTGAACTGTTGCCATACTTGACCTCAGAAAATATATTCCTTCTAATTTTTGCTGTGAACATTTATTTGTTTAAGCTAAACTCCAGGTCTTGAATGTTGACCATAAAGAAGTCTCAGATTTCCTGCTACTATTTTGTACTCTCTCTTTCTAAACAAGGGCAAACAACATATGTTTGCTGCATTAGTATTACAGTGCCAGAACATCACTATTAAATGAAGTCATCTATGTATTTTTGGTAGAATCTTATTTAACAACTTCCACCCCTGAAAGAAGCAGTTAGTTAAAACAAGACTGTTTTGTTTTCAGTGAGCAACAGTTTGATCACTGGTTTACTAGATGGCGCTCAAAACATTTTTCCATATGCTCTTCTCAGAGATATTCTAACTTAAATGTGGTTTACCTTTACCAGTGAATGAAGGCTTTTTTCACCAAACATATCCCAGAGGAAGGTCAGGTCTTCCTGGCTGTCCACATGTGGCTGCAGCTGGGCTGGCAATGCAGCTAGCAGCTCATACAGACCTATAAAATGAAAATAAAACACAAAGTGTAATCTAAGGGTGATCTCATTAATTTCACTTAACAGTTCTGTGTAATTGGCTGCCTGGAGCATGTCATTTTAACTGGAGAAGGAGTCTGGTCTATCCAGCAAAACATTAGCCTGAAGAACCAAAGGGAACATTTTTTAAAAATTACTAAGAAGCAGGTATTAACAGTGTACTTTTTACCTTGTCAGAGCTGTCAAGCTTCTACAGCCATATATATTTACACAAGACTATACAGAAAATTCATAAAGATTTTGAAAAAAGACAAAACCATACATTCCTTTGCTTAATCGTTATTCCATTTCCCTTGATGTTAGCCAAAGAGTGAAATGAGTCATGAATAGGAAAAACTTCCTTAAAAGAACAGAAACTGGATAGGGTGGTCCATTAAAAAGGGTTCGTGGTTTCTCTAAATGTTTCTCGCTAATATACCACTTAATGTATTTTTATCCGATGTCCAGCACAAATCTACAGCAAGACAAAAGAAACTACATTGTTATACAGTAGCCAGCCTTTAAAACAAAACCAAACCTTAGGTGAACACACAGGTTTAAGCTACATTTCCAGGTATTCAAGATTTAGCCTAGATTCTCTAGAAGGGTTAAAGTAGCTGTTGCTCCCAGTTATTTGTGGCACACCTCACTTGCAGTCTCCGGGGGCAGACAGTAGCACAGTGTTCCACAGTAGCGTACAGCATAAACTATCCATCAGGCACACAGGCTATCAAACTGCTGTCCAAGAAATGTAGCAACAGTGCTTGCAGCAGCCCTCTTTAGGGAGGTAACCTGGCATGAGTCGCTATCAATTCATAGCACATGTTTAATTTTCCAGTGGGATTACTTGGGGTAAAAAGGACAAAATGCCTTTTTCTCCTGTCTGCTGTCTACAAAAACACCAATAACCTCCTGGGATCCAGTATACATGGTCCTGCTATTATTTTTAGTCTGAGTAAGTGCTGCTGTTCATCACAAGGACAGTTTTACAAGATACTCATCTAGTAAAGTCCATTATGGTAAATTATAGGTTGCCTGTCATTAGTATGCTTATTATCACCCTAAAACATATGATTTAAATATTTCATTAGTAAACATCATTTCACAACCTTTTAAGGCATCATTCGCCCCTTCAAAAATTAAATATAGCGCCTTTGGGATCTGATTATTTAAAATTTTTCTCTCTTTTTGTTGGCTTTGAGTAAAGTTTTCTGGAAAAATGTTCCTTCCAGTCGCATTCTTTTCTGTGGTCCAAATGTTTTTGGTGGTTGACATTCATTTCTCTCAAAATCTTGCTTTTATTTAAATCTGTTCTTGTTTATGCTTCAGGAATACTATAAAAAGAGGATATAACTCAAACCACTACAATTTTGCATGGATATAAAAAAGCACAGCCATAGCCAAGTACTACCTAGTATCAGCAGTTGCACTAACACCCAAAGATCACAAGTTCAGAATAGGACTCTTGTCTCTTATTCTCCGGATTAATGTAAGTTAGGCACCTGGTGTAAATCGATATGTGCATCATGTGGTTTATGCAGACAGCAGGCAGTTATTTAAGCACATTCAAACAAGTCTGATAGCGAGTCACAATGGCTACCAGCTGCAAAAAGTTACATTCATCAGTCTAGCTGAGGAAACAAGTGTGTGGTAAGCAAAAATAAAGTTGGAAAAAGTTAAAACACATGTAATTAGGTACTAGCTAAATAGTTCTTCTTGAAAACAAAGGTTTCCTGTATAGCCTGATTTATACAGGAAAAGTTTTTAATTTTTGTACTGAATACTTCAACCATCAGGCTGGTATGAATGCATATTTCCCCTCACAAACCAAGACATGTTTTGGGGTTTTTTAAAGCAAGAGTAGAATACTAAAGATCTGTCCTTACACTGGATCGCAACAACCGCTAAGAAACAATTCCTGTCTACCTACCATTCAAAGTAAGAAAATATTAATTTGATCCACTTCCATTCAGCAAAGTTGCTGATTGGAGAAACCATTCTCTATTGATTCATAGATCTATTTCTGTATTTCATAATACCTACTGCACTGTATTTTGTCTTTGTAAGATGTCACTATTCTGTAACTTAGTCAATTAAATCCTCAATGAAAACAAATTGAAAATATTCACAAAATATCTGTGTTTAAACATTGAGGGGAGGGAAAAGAATACAAGCAAACAGAAGGGGATTAGCACAATCTTTTAAAATTATTTTTAAGTCACAATTAAGAGACCACTGGGTATTTTGTTCTATAAATATCTACATGAAAATGGTGATGAAGTAGTTTCAGCCTTAACTCAGGATTTCCCAGTAATTATTAGCATGTTACGTCATTCTTTAAGATCACTTTTTAGCATGAAAATGAACTATGTTTTTTGAATGGAGATTAAGATAAACACACAACAGCTGGCAAACTGTATTAAGGGTAAGTAACCTCTAAAAAAAAAAATCAAGGTTCCTATACATGAATTTTAAGATTTGGCAGATTATGAGGGAGTCAGTTTTATGAGAGTGTCTTGTTGCTATAGAAGGCTATGAATCATGTACCTGGACATTTCATAGATTTATAGACACTAGGATTGGAAGGGACCCCGGAGGATCATCGAGTCCAGCCCCCTGCCCCAAGGGCAGGAAGTCAGCTGGGGTCATAGGATCCCAGCAAGATAAGCATCCAGATGTGTCTTGAAGGCATTCAAAGTGGGTGCTTGAATCACCTCCAGCGGCAGTCTATACCAAACCTTGGGGGCTCAGACAGTAAAGAAGTTCTTCCTTATGTCCAGCCTGAATCGGTCTCGGCGGAGTTCGTGACCGTTCAATCTTGTCATCCCTTAGGGAACTCTGGTGAACAGATGTTCCCCCAGATCCTGGTGAACACCCCTGATAAACTTATAGGTGGCCACCAGATTGCCCCTGAGCCTGTGCTTTTCCAGGCTAGAGTCTCATGGCTCTCAGCCTCTCATCATAAGGTCTGTTTTCCTGACCTCTCTGATCATGCACATGGCTCTCCTCTGCACTCTCTCAAGCTTCTCCACATCCTTTTTTAATTGTGGAGCCCAAAACTGGATGCAGTACTCCAGCTGCGGCCTCACCAAGACCGAGTACAATGGGAGAATGACGTCCCGGGATTTGCTTGAGAAGTATCTGTGGATGCAAGCCAGTGTTTTGCTCGCTTTACTAGCCACAGCATCACATTGAAGGCTCATGTTCATCTTGTGGTCAATCATGACCCCCAAGTCCCTTCCATCTATAGTACTAACCAGCATAGCACCACCGAGCCTATAAGCATGCTGCAGGTTTTTCCTTCCAAGGTGGTGAACCTTGCATTTTTCAGTGTTAAACACCATCAGGTTCTTGTCCGCCCATTTCCTGAGCCTGTCAAGATCTGCCTGGATCACCCTCCTGTCCTCAGGTGTGGATGCTTTATCCCAGAGTTTGGTGTTGTCAGCAAACTTGGCAAGACTGCTTCTGTCTACATGTCTACATCATTGATAAAGACGTTAAAAAGTATAGGCCCTAGAACAGAGCCTTGAGGGATCCCACTGGTCACTGCGCACCACGACGATTGGCTACCTCAACCACCACCCTCTGGGTCACACTGTGGAGCCAATTCCCCAACCAGCGGATCGTGGTGAGGACGAGGCTGCAGTTAGCCAGTTTTGCCAAGAGGTGATCATGGGATACCAGATCAAAGGCTTTTTTAAAGGCAAGATATATGATGTCAATCTCTTCCCCCTGTCCAAGTGATAAGTCACCTGGTCATAAAAGGAAATGAGATTGGTCAAGCAAGACCTACCCGCAACAAACCCGTGCTGGGTATCACTCAGGATATTGCTGTCAGCTAGTCTGCTAAGGATGGCCTCTTTGATAAACTTTTCCAAGACATTCCCCAGGATAGAGGTAAGGCTGATGGGCCTGTAGTTTGCCAGATCTACTTTCCTCTCTTTTTTGAAGATAGGCACCACATTGGCCTTCTTCCAATCTTTGGGCACTTCACCAGAGCGCCAGGAGTTCTCAAAGATCTGTGTCAGGGGCTGAGCTATGATGCTCGCCAGCTCCTTGAGTACCCTGGGGTGTAAACCGTCAGGGCCGGCTGACTTGAAGGTATCCAGCCTCTCAAGGTGTTCCTTCACGAGGTCAGCTTCGATGGAGGGTAAGGAATCTCCCTCACGCAGGCCTCCCTGACCCATAGTGGGCAGGGGCGTCCCATGGGACTGACGAAAAACTGACGCAAAGTACCCATTTAGCAAGTTTGCTTTTTCATGGGCATTGATTGTCAGTTGTCCCATCTGGTTTAGCAGGGGTCCAATGTTGCCCTTGCTTTTCCTCCAGCTCCTCACAGATCTAAAAAAGGACTTTTTATTGTCCTTGATATTTGTAGCTAACTGGAATTCTGTCACAGCCTTGGCTTTCCTGGTTTGCTCTCTGCCGGTCCGGACCAGTGCAGAGTATTCCTCCTCAGTGGTGATTCCAGTCCTCCATCCTTTGTAGGTCTTTCTTTTAAGACGCAGGAGGTCCGCTAGTTCTCTGGAGAGCCAAGGGGGCTGCTGTACCCTTTTGCTGCCTTTCCTCTGAGATGGGACAGATTTTGCTTGCGCGTACAGAATTGCTCCCTTGAGGAGCAACCACTCGTCCTGAACTCCCCTTCCCTTTGGGTTGCAGTCCTTCAGGGCCTCACTGACGAGCCTCCTTAGCTTGTCAAAGTCAGCTTTCCTAAAGTTGAGGACTTCTGTATTACTGACTGACTTGCCAGCTTTATGGCGGATGGTGAAGGTGATCAGCTCGTGGTCACAGTCACCCAGCTTCCCTTCGATCATTAGGTCGCCAATTAGGTCGTCCCCAGTTGCCAGTACCAGATCAAGCAGCGCTTTACTTCTCGTCGGCCCATAGACTTCCTGCGTCAGATAGAGCTCATCCATGCACGAGAGAAAGCTTTGCAACCGCTCAGATTTGGCTGAGTGCTCCTCCCACGAGATGTCTGGGTAGT